AGAGAAGGAAATGATAGATTCATTCTTGGTTTTCCTTGAATTCAAAAGCAAGACTGTTTTCCACACTGGTAAGTTCTCTCTGCACCAAGAGCTTCTAAGACGGGAAGAATATCCTTTCAGCTTTCTGTTTGAAGAACTGACTAGGACGTGTTCTTACAGCAGCTCTGATGGTGGTTGTCCTTGATCCAACGTCTGCAGTGTGGAGGGGAGCTCTCAGAACAAGTGTGGGCATTTAAACTTGTAACATGTACCAGGTGGTGTAGACCCTGTGGTTGGCTGCTTTTCTTTGCATGAGCTCTCCCTCCAGAGAGAGACTATGATATGGAAAGAAGACAGAGAGACTTCTCCTTTGGTGGCTAATGATTATTTAACATATTTTGGGATATAGGGTCACAGGGGTTTCAGTCCACCAGCTTTTTAGCATAATATTAACTGTTAGTAAACTGAATTGCTTCAAGCACAAGAAAGCACATTTTACCTTCAAAGTGCCACACAAATATTAAAGTTGGTTATTAGGTGACTTAACCATATGAGTAGCATTTTTCACAAATATTACCTCATTTTGTTCTTGTGAAGTCTCATAACGGATCTCATGACAAATATCAACATTATTTTAACAGTATGAGGAACTGATCGAGAAGTTACTGAATCTAGTCCTCTTATTTCCAAGATTTAAAAACATGTAACTTTTATCATACAATGGGTTTTACAATAATGCAGCACATACCACACTACCATTAAATTTCTTTGTTTCTGTAACCAAGTGGGACTGGTCAGAGTATTTCTTGGACCCAAAACCTTGGAGCCATCTTCCTTTTTCCCTCATATCTCACATCTATCAGCAAATCCTGGTACCTCTCCCTTCAAAATACATTTCCCTCTGGCCACTTCTCAATCCCCACTGCTACCACCGGACCACCATCAATTCTCAGCTGGATGGCTGCATTCTCCACGCAGAATTCTGCAAGAGGTCTAAAAGGAAAGTGAGATCACATCGCTGCCCTGCCTTAAAACCCTCTATTTACTTCTTACTCTGTCTTGTACCTGCCTCCTATATTTCCCACCTCTCTGCCTCTCCAGCCACACTTGCCTTAATGTGCCAGTATCACTTCTAATTTGTTACAGCCTCAGGGCCCTTAAACTTACTGCTCCCCCAGTTTAGAATACACTTTCCTGAGGCCTTCAAATGGTTCAGGCTTTATATCCTTCAGGGCTCCAAATATGCAGAGATGTACCTGAATCCTTCTCTGTATGAACCTCCTCCTCCCTGCCACTCAATATCTGTTTATCCTGCTTCATTATTTTTCCATAGCTTTTATCATAGCTTCAGTTTATAATTTACTCATTTACTCCTTGTTTCTTTCCCTCTCTAGCAGGTAAGCTCCTTGGGAGTGGGGACTTGGTTCACTGTTGAATCCTAGAATAGTACTGAGGATGTTAAAGGTATTAAAGGATATTTGTAGAACACGTGAATGAATGGTCTGGATCTACTGCATTTGGTTATATCACTTTTAATTTAGAATATTTAAAATGAGGTATTCTCAGGATCCCAGGCTGCCTCTCAGGATAGAGTATTGATCCACTCATGGACAGTAAAAGGAATGTCAGATTTGGGTCGACAGCCTCATCCTAACCTCAGGAGCATGTACTGGGCTGAGAAGAACATGGGCTTTGGAGACAAAAGTGGGTGGGAATTCGGGTTGCCCCTGGTTTTGGCTTTTACTTCACCTCTGAGAGTCTGTTTTCTCTACTAGAACAAGAAATAAGTTTTTATTGTGTTAAGCCATGGGAAGTTGCAGGCTGTTCCAGTCATCACTGTCAATTACCCTAATAAATTAGGACCATGGGCCTTGCTCCTCCCATGTGTCTGGAAACCCTCCTTTTCCTAGTCTTCTTTTCCTCACAAATCCCCTCTTCCCTAGACCCATTCTAGGATCTTTATTGGACTCCTCCAAGAACAGGAAGGAAAAAAAAAACAATTTTTCCTCAACTTTGTATTTTGAAAATTTACAAACCTTCAGAAAATTTGAAAAGAGTAAAATTAACACTGATGTGCTTTTCACTTAAATTAACCAATCATAACAATTTTGCCATATTGGAGCACACGCACCTCTCTCTACACACACACATACACACACGCACGCACACACATGCAATAATCCTGACACTTCACACTAAATACTTCATCATCCATCTCCTTAGAATGGACCTTCTCTTACATAATCAGAGTATCGTTCTTACACATAAAATTTTAAGCATTAAGTATCATCTCATAGTTTATAGTCAAATCTCCCCAAGTAGAATTTATTTATAGAATTTATTTGATCCAAGATCTATTGCATTTGGTTATATCACTTTTAATTTAAAATATTTTCTCTGCCTTTCCTGTTTTTTTTTTTCACAACCTAGAAATTTTGAAGAGCCCAGGCCAGATAATTTAAAGACTATCCAGCAGTCTGGATTTGTCTGATTGTTTCTTCATGATTAAATTCAGGTTAAACATTTTTGACCAGAATATTGCCCAGGTGATGGTATACATCCCACTGCATCCATTTAGGAGTCCCTTAGTGTCCGTTTGTCCCCTTATTGATGATGTGAAATTTGATCACTTCCTTTATGATAGGGTTGACTAGATTGCCCCAAGGTAAAAACATAAACATAAAGCCACTGTTAAACATTGTTGAGCTTAGTTAAAAACACACACACACACACACACACACACACACACACAACAGGTCATGAATTATAACACATTGAATAAATAAAAACAAAAACTGGCACTGGCTGGTGTGGCTCAGTTGGTTGAGTATAGTCCCATG